TTAATTTCTTTTAATTTATCGAATTGAATCCATTCAATAATCTCATCATATTCCTTGGCTTTAAGTTGTAAATCTTTGATCACTTTATCAATTTCTTCATTATTACTTGTCCATCCTTTTGTTTCTTTCTGAGGATCACAATGTTGGCACCAAACTCGGGAACTGTTGTATCGTTTACATTCTTCACACCTTCCATAAAACCGATTCCTTTTTATGACAAATAACATGAATTAGACTTGTATTAGTTCATTCATCTTTCTTTGTAAGGTATTTTTAAAACTTGTGAAACTTAAGAGTCAAATGTACGAACAACAATACTAACCTTTAAATCCGTACGTAAAATTATAAGTGCCTTGTTTTTTAGAATGTCGATTTTATAAACAAATATAAATTGACTCACCTCCTGTTAAATATATGTAATTGGTTAACATTAATGTAATATTTAATGAACAATTTTGTAATGAAGTATTATACTCACAAGCTAAGAATTTAATATTTGTGTAATAAATTAGATGATATAATTAAGTGTTAAATGCTAATTTTATAAACCGCATTTTAATACTTACCTCCTTTAATGTATGCATAATTTATTATGGTAAGGTATGTTAGGATATAATATTTAAGTTTTGATAAATGAATGGTATAAAATTTTATGCAAACCTCCTAATAATTTATTTGAATAATTGATTTGATTAAACGGATAATTAATATAGTGAATGCTGATTTTTAGAAATAAAGAAAATACGAAATAAAATTTTATACTCACTCACAAATATACTTTAACACTCTTTTGTGTATGAATCTAAATATTATCATGAAAATCTTAAGGCAAGATGTAACTAATAAGAGAAGTGGCACTACACTATACACCACGACAGATTGGTAATAAATGGCCTTTAAAATAATATATTTAAATGAAAAGCAAATTAATTAATTAAATTTTACAAATAAATATAATAATATTTCTCACTTGAATAACGATCTGTGGAATATTCCTAAAAAAAATGTCAAATATCGCTCCATATATTATCGAGAACCTAAATACCCGTCTAAGCATATTAATTTGTTTGACTTCCTCAGAGATTTCATCAGGTCTAGGTGCGTTTTCCAAAATCGTTAAATACTCATAATCAGCTTCTACTTTATTAGGGTCAAGAACATCTTTATTGTGTTTAAGCATATCTTTATTAGTTTCAGGCGACTGTTTATTAGATACAGGCGTAGGTTTATTAGATTTAGGTACATCTTTCTTGATTGTCAGATACTTATAACCAATTGTTAGCCTATGAAATCTAGGCATATCTTTCAAAATTGTCAAATACTCATAATCGGTAACTGCCAATATAGTAAACACAGTCACCAAATCTTTTTTACGAGTAACCCAATTTTTAAAGTCTTTTCCAACAATTGGATCGTTAGTTCCATTGTAGATAGTAAAAATAGCTATACAAAAGTTTGTGAATAGCGAAACACTAAGTAAAATAATACTTTATGTGTTTGTTTGTTTAGAATGAGTTAAAAATAAGGTAACTAATAAATTAAACAATAAATTTAGCATTAACTTGATTATAATACCTTAGTAGTTGTAAATGTAGCTCCGGTATATCAGTAGAATTGAGATCGATAAAGAGAATTG